TGTGTGTGTGTGTGTGTGTGGATGCGCAAGTTGGGTGCGAGTAAACACCAAGTCTATTACCACAAACCCAGAGTTGAAACATGCAACTCAAACTGTTTCACAAGAATGCGTCCACAGATTTATGGCTGTGGTTCCATGTGCATGGGTGCGAGTGTGTTTAGCAGAGAGACGCTATGTGCGGCGCCGGACAAGCTCGTCTTTGTGAGAGCCGTTCACAAGACTCACACAGCTTCTCAGAACCACACTTTGGGAAAAATGGAAAAGGAGCGTATTATGATTCCGGAATTCTGATTATGTGTGGGCCTCCAGCGGCCAACAAGCAGCCTCTGTATTTCAATGAGCCACAGCCTGTTAAAAGTCATAATAAATTCTATTCCTGTCCAGAGATGACCTTCGGTAGCAACGATCTGATTGTTCACTTTTCTTTTTCTCGTCTGACATTTTAAAGTGGTGTACAAATTCTGGGTCACAGTTTTTTCTCAAACTGTGTTACACCGACATTTTGAATGAAGAATATCCTGTGATATGGTTGCTAGTATATTTATTCAGATTTTTGTTCTGGGCTGCTCTATCAAATAACCTATATATGGGAATCTAGCCAATATTTGAGTTAAAAAATGCAGGATAACAATACAGATAAAAAGCGAAAGAAGAAAGTCTGGAGCAAATGCAAAATCTCAAAATCAGATACAAAAACAAATAGGACATTGGCGGTCATTACATAATGACAGCCAGCATATAAATATGAGGTGAGGCTAATTCTAATACAACATAAGTGGTAGAGAGACAGTATTGGTCAAGTGATAATTGCTGAGAGCAGATCTTTCCAGCCTCCAGCTCTGGTAACGCAATGCGTGTGAACTGCCATTATTGCCCCGTTGAGAAAAAGACAATGTACGCCCCTTCCCAGCAATTACGGGGCTGGGAAAAGAATGTGAAACCCAACCTCTGTGGACAGACTTCACCGCACTATACCACAACCTGCAGATGGAAGGGATTGGGAGAGTGGTGGCATGGAGGGGTAGTAATTGGATTACTGAATGGATAAATTCAAGGGCATCACTTATGAGGAACATTTGGCAAGGCACAAAATTCACTTTACATTAAAAACAAGTTTGAAAATCAGTGTATGTATATAAACATCCTCAGAACATATAGTCTTTATTTCCCTTATATAAGCCTTCCATTTTCCTCTGGTCCACTCACCAGCTGAAGCCGTGTTTGTTTGTCGGGGTGTGTTTCTCCAGCAGAGCGGTGAGCTGCAGCAGGGAGAGCTTCTGGAGCAGGTTCATCTGTAACACAGACTGGCAGCTAATTTGGAGCTGGGCGGAGGCCAAACTGGGCCGATGGGAGTTCTGGAAGCTCGGCCAGCGGAGTTTCTGTGGCCTGGAGATCGAAGAAAGAGAAGGAGATGCAAATTCAGGCGTGTCACTCCTGGGATCTGCATCATGCTTAACTGTACACAACACAAAGAATAACACATGGCCACACAAAGTATTTGTAGTTGTAGGTGCCAAGAGATCAGTTTAGGGATTAGAGGGATTTATGTACACATCAATCAAGAGATTGTCTAAAGAACTAAAATCCCAAACACCCCCTGTAAATGTAATTCTGTCTGTGGATTCCTGAAGGAACAGAAACTGTTCCCGTGGAGACTAAGCTGCATTCCAGAGTATTTCAGCAACATTACGTAAGGAAAGACATCTCAGCATGTCCCCCTGTTATCCTTTGCTGTCACTTTCACTTGTTGGTATTTCTATTGTTTTTTAGAGCTTTTCGTGCACCAAGGTTAAGTTTGGCAGGGACTTTAACAGACAGAAGGAGAGCAGCTGTTTGGGTGACTCTCTCATAAAGGATTAGTTAACCTAAATAACAGAGTTAAATAGAAACATTTTCTACAAAAGAAATTGTTATAATATACTATTTTGAACAAACTGCCTTAATAACTAGAGAGTTTTCATTTTCTTCACTAACCTGCTGCTTCGAGTTAGAGATGCTCCAACACCAGAATCTCTTCTTTCTCTCATCCCTTCCTCTCCATCGCCCAGAGGGTTTCCTGTGCTGTCTTGGTCGCTTCCGTTCTCCGTCTCTTCCAGTCGGTTCTGCAAAGGAGAAGACGGGCATGGGGAGGCAGAGTCTAGTGCTGAGTCTGAGTCTCCTTCCTCCTCTTCATCTTCCTCCTCTTCATCCTCTTCACCGGCCACAGCCTCTGACCAGGCGTTAAAGCGCTGCAGGCCACCGACATGTTGTAGCGCCTCCACCAGTTTCTGTTCATCCCCTTCTTCCTCCTCTCCCTCCTCTTCTCTCTCAGTGTAGGGAACATTGTCATAAAAACTGAGCCGGCTGTCGACGGAGCCCGAAGACCCCCGATGCTGGCGCCTACTTTGCCGTCCCCTGAGGACCACAGAGTTTCCATTATCATTCCCATTGTTATTGTGGGAACTCCCGTCTTGCAGGGCTTTGGGGAAAGTCCCAGGCTTGTGACCTTCTGGTAAGTAGAAGAAGATCATGCCATCCTCCTCCTCCTCCTCCTCTTCTTCTTCCTCCACATGTCTGATATTGCCACGAACACTGAAGTTGTTCCTGCGGTTCTGCTCATCAACTGTCATACCATTGCTAGCTTGGCAGGGGATGGGTGTGGTAGATTTGGATGGCGGTGTCGACTGGCGATCTGAAGCTGGTTGGAGAATGCTGAAAGGATCAAACCCCTCCAAATACATCCCTCCTCTCTTACTGGACCCTGCTGCGGTGCTGTGGCTGCGAGCGCGGGTCACAGGGCTCGGCGTGCTCACTGCACTACCACTGCTGGCTTCTGATTGGCTGCTTCCTGTACTCCCAGTGCTGCCGTTGCTGGCCTGAGTGGAGTAGGAGACAGAGCGATTCCGGTTAAGTGTCATGGTCTGAGTGGGATTGCGGTGGTGATTGAGGTTCTGGTTGAGGTTGATACTGGAGATGTCCACACAGTTGAGCCTTCTCAACTTGTCATCATCTAGACCCTCTTTGATGACAGGGCCACTGATCTCAATCTTCCCTCCACTGGTGCTGGCCTTCTTCTTCCTCTTGGATGAGGTGCCACTGCGCAGCCGTAGACTCTCCATCCTCTTTAAGAAGCTCTTAGCTCGTGAGCGTGTGCTTTTGCCACTTCCCCCTCCTCTGTCGAGACTCCCTCCGAGTCCTCCTATCCCTGTTTTCATGTCAAACGTGAACTGTCCAAGTGTCTCCAGGGGCGATGGGGGCAACCCATCAGACAAAGAGTCTTCATTGGCGCATCCTGACCCGCCTGTGCCTGAGGAAGAGCACATGCTGGCTACAGAGCTGGCACGAGTGGCACCAGCAGGTACAGCCTCATTCATCAAGGTGGCGCCGTGGCCTTTCTCTTCTCCTCCTCCTCCACTCCCACTGCTGTGGATGGAGCCCACTTCAGGCTGCTCACTGAGGTCGGTCAGCACACTCTCCGAACTGTGACCTTCACGTAGGTGACCTTCACGCTTGCCCTTCTGGGATACTTGGTCCATGGGGAATGATGGTGCCTGTGTGGCATCTGTAGACAGTGAGGAAAAAACCTCCAGTTCCTCCATGCGGGACCAGCGCTTGCTGTCCCTCTGGAAGGTCCAGCGGCCACTGATGGCACACGGTTCGTCCTCATCAGAGTCCTCACTCTAGATAGGGGAGAAGGAGGGGATAAAGAGGACGGAGAAAAAGACATAGCAAGAAGAAGAGGAAAAAGGAAAGGGAATGGGAGGGAGAGGAGAATATTATGCACTGCTACATTTTCCACTTATTTTTCAACATTCCTCACATTGATCCAGGAAACTTTTTGGAGTTATAGTTTTAATTGTAAAATAACTGAAATATGTTAATACAAGATGGCAGTCAAATGCCTTCACAACCAAGGAACTGTTGCACACAAGAAAACTTGAATAAGGACTTTTGTTTTGCATGACAAGATTTTAAACTGGGGTCAGACACCCCCCCCCCCCCCCAGTTTAGTTAAACTATTTCAGGCCCTGGAGGGAGTTCAGGAAATTCCATTATGACCCCCATAGCTCTCAATGCAGTCAGCCAGACTGGGGTCACCCCCCACTACCCACCACCCTACAGTCAATCCATGATAGTGACATCCAACCTCTGTCTCAGACACACACACGCACATGTTTGTACTTCTATCTTAGGGAGGACACTCAAGGACATAATGCATTCACAAGCTCCTTACCCTAACCCATACTAAATGCCTAACTCTAAACCTCATCCTAACCCTGACCTAAACCTAATTCTAACCCTAATTACTAAACTAAAACCAAGTCTATACTCTCAAACAGCCCACTGAAAATGTGAGGACAGGTCAAAACGTCCTCACATTCCAGAAATGTCCTCACTCTGTAGGGTCTATGCTTTAAATGGTCCTCACAAAGATATAAGAACAAACACACTGGGCTGTGAGACCCCAGAAGAAGCGTCTTCACAGTTACTGATCACTGGAGAAATAGCCCATAAAACACGACCACAGGCCACATTTTAACCACCCCCTTCTCTTCACCTTTCTAAATCTCTACTTATGATCCAAACTCACAAAACTTTCTTCTAGCCATCAAAATACAAACTGAACTGTGAGGGGTTGCAACCATCAGGGGACAGGAAATTAGCACTTTGAGCGAAGAATTCCAATTGAAAAAATTATCAAATCTACAAAATCTATGTTCACTCTTTGTGTACTAAAGTTCAATTTCCACTGCTCACATGGGCTCCAAATACAGGCGACATTATTTATATGTTTTTCGGTGGAAATGATGTAATTTCACAAAAAACAGTGTGATCTAACCATGCTACACACAGGGCTTTTGTTGAAAGCAAAGAAGAGCCAATTGTATTTTGGTGACATTTTGGACACCAGTGTGGTTCGTTTCTTCAGTTATGTCAGTTGGAATGTGAGATAACCATAGTGTGCTGTTTGTTGTTCATTGAGACGACTGTTTCTCAACTTATCTTATCCTTAAATCATCAAACCACTTTTAGGCATTCACTGCAATGGTTTGAATGTCACAAGGAGTCTGCAGAATGAAAACTATTTATAATCACAATAAGACAGATAGAACAGAAAGAATGACAGAGAGGGAAATTGAGATCTAAGAGAGAGGGAATGTTAAGACACGAGGAGATCAATGCATTCCTAAGCTGTCTAAGGGTGACGGGGTGGGGTGATGGTGGCAAAAAACCTCTTTGACTGCTCTACTCCTCTATGTTGACTCCTAAAATGAAAGGTGACACAGAGAGGGTCATCCCAATGAATACCACCACACACGGAACAAGGATGTTACTATGTAGTGCTTCAGGCAATTAGACAATTAAGGTTAATTTGAGAGAAAAGGAGAACAAACTGACAGTGTATTAATGACAGACAGATTATGCTGTTGTTCGATTAATGGGCCAATATCTGGCATTATAAGATATTTGCATTATACGTTGGCCTTTGGTGCCTCTGCTCTCTAAATATCAGCCACTGAAAACCCCATATTGGTCGATGACTGACAGTGTATATTCCAGTTTACTTAAAATATGTATAAAACTGGAACATCCCAGAGTTATCTGTTTTTCAAGATGATAAAACCCATTCAAGGCAGCTGGTTTCCTTATTAGAGAAATCTAAGAACGTGATTTTGGAGGGAGCCAACTGCAACACACTAACAAACCATGAAGAACCTAATCATGGTTGGTTCATTCTGCAAGAGTGCTACAAATGCAGCTCACTAATTCCCTTTATAGTGAGCCACAAGTATGAGGAAGTATTTGAGAAAAAAGGGGAGCATGCCTCGAGTAGGGGGAGGTCCTGGTGGATGCAACCCCTTCATTTAGACATTAAAGCTATCCTCCTTCCCCCTAGGCTCCGCACAGCCCACTTGATATAGAAATAAACCCAACAGGTGCCTTCTCATTAAACTAGATGAGAGAAAACACAGGTTTGCCCTGTGGCCAAGAGTGAACTGACGGTTGAGGTGAGGAAATGCAATTGTGGTTAAGGAGACGTGCAAAAAGGGGCTTTTGTGGAAGGAGTGGAGGTCATGTGTATGCATGTGCACTTACTCGTTTTCGTTGTGGTGATATTTCCAGTCTCATCAGAGCACACTTGTTGAGGGTGTTCAGCCTCCTGCACAAACACATATGAAAGCGGTTACATTTAAAATAGGCTTTAAAATAATCAAGCTCCCTGTTTTTCCTTAAAACACAAACCTCTCATTGCCAAGAGGATGTAGAATTAAAGAATGGATGAAACAAGATGAGTAAGAGAAGAAGGGGAGGAGAGAGACAGAGGGGGAGTTTGGGTGCAGCCAGGCTGGCTAATGACCTGCTGAAGGATAATCCTCACATGAGCAGAAAGAGAATGAGAGGGACATGGAAAAGGAGAGAGAGAGAGAGAGAGAGAGCACGGAGAATGAAATCTGCCGGAGTGGCGATGAAAGCTTGGGGAGGGGGGGCAGAAAGCTTATCCCCCCAGCCACCTGGAGAAGGGGAGCAAGGGTTGTGGTGGGGTCCACCCTCTGGAGAGCTGTTAGAGCAGATCATGTAACAATGGAAAGATGAAGGAATGGGAGCCGATGGGAGTGTTGGGGCAGTGCGAAGGGGGTGAGAGGCTGCCAAGAGAGGAGACACTGAGATGATAGCTTCCAGATGTATGGAGGGACACCTGCTGTGGTTTATTACTGGGAGTTGGAATTTGATGATGGAGCCAACTCAATTAAGAAGCCATTAACCTCCTTGTCCCATGTAAATTATTATGGTAAGAGCACCAACTACAATGCAAAGCCAGTCTTCTCCAGCATTCCTTAACTTTTCCTGCCCTTGCACTCTCCTATCTAAAACATCACACAAATAAAAGCTCTGAAACCATTAACTTTCTAGTTGTGCTTAGTGTTGAGCATTGCGTGACTGTAAGATCTCGCAGCGCAAAGTAGAACTGAGATATTGCGCTTGCAGGGATGATACAAGAGACTGTAATGACTGAGGAAAACCCTATCAGCCACAGAGAAGGAACAAAATAAAGAGAGACGGTACGTTCATAGAAAAGGAACAGATACAGCGCATGGCTCCAGGGTTCTTATCGTGTCATTCTTTTATCTCATCGCCAATTTCTCAAAAGTATGTGTCCTTTTGAAGTTGTGCCCTCATGGCATGCTTTGGAGGAAAACGAGATAGTAAAGAAGAGAAGGAGGAGGAATAATAAGAAGGGGGTGCATGAGAGAGAAAGTTCAGCGTAAAAGGGTTTGGTGAGTCTCACCTGCAGAGAGCCTCAATCGCATCCCGATCGAGGAAATCATGGTCTCTGGTGACAGAGGAGATGTCAATGGGGAACAGGGCATCTAAAAAGAAGAGAGAGAGAGTCAGACTAGTGTCGGCAGCTCCCTGCCACTGATTGGATCAGTGTGCACAGATAGAACTTAAGATACAACCCCTATAGTCCCAAAAAACACCCACCCACCCACTCATACACCCACCAGGACCTTCCGTCCCACCTACTGCCCCCCTCCATACAGCCACGATGAAAAGCTAAAAGAGGAAGTAGCATCTTAGCCGACCAAACAAACACAGCTGCAGCTTTCAGAGCTGGCAGGCAGGGGGGATGTGGAGCACAGAGGGAAAGAACAGGGGATTGATTGAAGAATGACAATAGGTGCTCCACCACTGCTCAGAGATCCCACTTCCTTTTCTACTTCTTCTTCATTCTCTCTAGTCCACCTCATTAACAGGATCACTAATTGACTGAGATGCATTATTACTTAAATCTTGCTTATCCTGTTAAGAGCCGTATTCTGGTGGAGAGATGGATGGACAGATACTAAAATATTGTCAGGAATGTGATGGCCCAACCCAAAACAGGATTCTAACTTATTTAAATCCTCGGGGGGACTTTGATGATAACGAAATGCTGCTCAGGGGAGACCAGCCCCTTAACTCTACTGTACTGACTCAGGCTGCTTATCTTTAGTGGGGCAATAACATTGACAGCAGAGACAATAGAGATTGTCCCACAGATACAAGGGAAGGAAATATGTGTCACACATTGGCACAAGTTCCTTCTCCACTGGAGACCGCTGCAAAATGCTGTAAAATCTGCACAGTGATCAATCGTGGTTTGCACTTTTGTGTTGCTGTATAAAAAACAGCCTCATCACCTGTGCAGAGACACAATGAACTTTCCGTTCGAAGAGGAAACCTTTCACAGTTAAGTGGCAACAAGCAATGAGCTGTTGACAATGGTGGCTTAGTCCTGCTGTCATCGTCCTGTAGTTATGTAAGGGCAGCTGGTATGCTCATGGTATGCCTTAGTAGCTATATGGAGTGTAAAGAATGCTTGATGTATTTTGGTGAGTGAGTATTTAAAACTCAAAGGTTGGGCAGAGCGTTCTTTCTCAACTATTTGCCATTGTAAGAAACTTGATTTATGTTTGTTTTAACAAGCTAGTAAAGACCTTTGGTCCCAATAGAGTGACTAAATAAGTTACATTATTGTTAATGTTTGGAATATACCAATGTGTGCTTAGGTTTGCTGTGGTTTTAGTTCAGAGTAAAACGCTGAGAAATAATACACCCATTACTCCTAAGGAATGTATGTGGTGTGTGTGCATGCACAGGCAATAGTGTGACTTAAATACTTTGTGTGCCTAACAAACGATACAGTGTTTTTTTTTGCTAGAAACAATCAGCTGTTAAATACCAAAGAGGTGTGGGCTCACAATTAAGATTTTTTTTAACTTGCAAAAATTTGTGCAGCAAAATAATAGCCTGAAGTCACAGCAACCTGGAAAATCTGTCTGATTATGCCATGATTCTTAATCTGACTGGTTTTCCCATAGCGAATGAGCTGATGTTCTTAATAGGGGGGGTCTTACCTTCGTAAAGCTGGGCGTACTGTGGGAACCCTGCGGCCCGGAGCCAGGTACAGGCCTCTTTAGCTTCAATCTCTGCGGATGAGACAAAGTGGAGCATAACAAAGGCATTTAGAAGCTGTGGGAAACACTTCAATCCTTCAGACATTGAATAAAATAAATGTTTACTACACACACATACAAGCCTACAGAAAGAAGTCCCAACTAAACTTAAATTAACTTAAACCAAACTTAAGTAAGATTGATCACATACTCTGATACAAAGGCCTCTTGTCACCTAAAAGAGACATAATTTGAAGTTGTTCTCCAAAACTCTGCGAGCAGCTTATCAAATGCAAAGCCTTTGACCCTTTTAGCTATCTTACACTTGGTCACTCTCCTCTCACATGCTTCTAAAGCTTGAGCTCAAACCATCATTCCTTCAAATTGTGTTAACCCCCTCACACGCCAAGTGTGTGCCCATTAAGCTCTTTATCAAGGTACGGCAGAGGTTGTTCGTTGAGCTTTTTACCATATGACACAACAGTTCCCATAAGTATTAATGTGTCACTATATGACTTATTGTTAACGTATTTTTCTGTCTTTGTCTTTTTCTTAAACATTTACTTTGTTATTTTCTTTGAGCTACATAGGATATTTAATGGTTGTACTGCCGTCAATCAGCTTATATTCTTTATGAAGCCAATTAGAAAGGCTAATCAACTGTTATTAGCTTCTGTTAGGGTTTGAACACGGGAATGTGTTTTATGGGAAGGTCCTCTCAGACTTTTTGACCCCATAGATCAGATTTTTGTCCACAAGTGATTTTGCCACAGTCGAACATGTTCACAACACTCCTCCGACACAACAAACTCTTCCATGTCCCTGTTTAAACACAAGGTGTGACATTTGGGCTTGTTATGCTAAGTACTATGCCTGAATGTTGGGGTCCGCTGTGTGTCAGAGGAGCCATAGGGATGGCTCCCAATTATCTGTGAAAGCCCTTTAGATGACATATGCCAAATGGTCACCCACACCCCAGCATCCTCAATTGCTCCATCACCCCTAGAGCCGGCAGTCTGACGACAGAAGACAGACAGAACCTTGTCTCCAGGCCTGGAGGCACTGACTTTACAATGTCTTCTTTAACAGAATGACACCAAGTACAAATGTTGCACAACCTTGAGAAAAACTTGTAAACAAAACCAGTGGAACAAAGGCAGGAAAGGACACTGTTAAACCCTGGATGAAAGTGACAACATGTAGATTGACTGCGAAATACCAGCCCATCCTACTGACAAAAGTTTTTGATGGCTTAAGTTCAGACGAGATAGTTTCAAATACTACAATCCTTGCAGTCAGACATTATGACCCTAACACTGTTATGAAGGGGCTATTTTTGGTTGAGTGTGATTGAGCTTATAGTAACCAGCAATAAAGGGAAGCAGAGTAGTTTCTGTTATTTACAAAGGGGGCAGTTTTGCAGTTCCACCTCATTTCAGGGCTAGAATAAGATCAATGAATTGTTTTTTTTTATTTTAGCTGTAGCTCAAGAAGACAAGAATGAAAGGGAAAAAACAGAACTCGACTTATCTGAACAGCTGAAGGCTTTATAGTATTTTAGTCCATGTGGCAGTAATACAGAGATAAATGGGTTATAAATAAATCTGACATTACCAACATGAAATTGACTTCATATGGACAAAAGATAAAGTATTGGCAGACAGGTCAGAAAAAGATGACTGAAGAAAAGGTTAAAAGGCTCAACAATTCTGTATATGAGCATTTACATACTGACAACAAGCCTAGACGGCAGACCAACCCACTAACAACAGGGTGTGACACAGTGAAGCAAGGGTCTCCCCTCTGCTACGGTGGGGGATAAGGACCTGCTGAAAGAGGCAGCATCATCATGAACCCAAGTGTAAAATAACACATTAACGTCAATGTTTTAACACAAAAGTTGGCTCTATTTTTACTAGTGAATAAGAATTGGCATCTCTCCGACACTGTGTCAGTGTATTGAGCCGTGTATTTCTGGAGTGCACCAAGAGGAAAGTAGAAACAGAGGGCTTATTAAAACAACATTCGTAAAAGCAGGCGCTGTGTGATTCTTGTGTTTGCTTGTGTATCTGTGTGTGTGCTCAAGCAAGTCTGTGTGTGCTTGCAGAGACCAACCTCATGTTTAAAGACAAACCACACAGAAGACAGTAAAGCTATTGAAATGCAAAGTAGACATACAAACACATGGTTAGCTTTCCACCCCCAACACCGCCAAAAAAAGGGCAAGGGGATCTAATAAGTGCCTTAAGAGGGAAGATATCCAGTGACACACCCCATTGGGCAAAAAGTGTGTCAAATCTACTTTACAGTGACGTAAAGTGGACAGTGTGCCAAGGAAATAAAATAGGTGAATCAGACTAAATGATATTTGTCACTGCACCACACTGTGTCTTGCAGAGGGAAGCTAGAAAAAATGTCTCTTTTGTTTGGCTGCAGGAAGTGGAAGGGGGAAGAGAGACAAACAACCCCACAACAGAGACACAACACATATACATCTGGAATCAAAAACTATTGGATCAACAAGACAATACAAGAATATCCCAGACATTCTGGTCATAAAAATGTACTCCAACAACACTGCGCCCAATCCTTCACATTTTTTTGTTTGCATTGATAACTTGAGATTCATGAGTGTGTCTTATTTTTTTCTCCTGTCCACCCTCATTCCTCAGCCCTCGCCAGGGAACTACCTCACTTCCTCTTCCTGCTTCCCTTGCAGGAAGAGAGCCGAGCGGCGCTGCAGTGGCTGCCGACCACCCGGCTGTAAGGCCCTGCCTTCGTTTGTTCCTGGCCAGATAATAGGCGGGGGAGGCAGCCAAGACAAACATGGGCTCTTGTGATTGTGTGTACTTACCAAAAGTCCTCAAAGCCACACCGCACCGATGACTTACAGCAAACACTTATGACTTATGACTTTCCCCTCAAGTAGAAAAGAAGAAGTTGATCACCTTGATAATGGTCTACATGTGTCAGGTTGTCTGAAGCACAACAGATTACAAGACGACTTCAAGGTCAACTACAGCAATGAAAATACTAAATGTCCCAGAAAACTATTTATGCTGCATTTAACCACAAATTCCATTTTGTGCAGTGTAATTTCTGGAACTGGAAACATTCCTCTTCATCTTTAGTTTTAACACTGAAGCAATTTAAGAAGAATTACAATAAGTTCAGATATATGTAGTTAGTCTAAAATAAACACAAATCCTAAACTCAGTCAGCCATTTGTCATTTCCACCCCAGAGTCAGGAAAACCATACGCTAACATCAGCATGCAATTACTTAACTACAAATGGAGACCTTCTGTCAGGATATCAACCAAACCTCTTTCCTACTAGATCATCACTGGTTGTGTGGCTGGCTAGGAGACATGCAGATAACAGGTGGGTAGATCATTAAGTGAATCAGACCAGACCATAACTCCTGGTCCTGCATTGGGAGCCACAGAGGATGTCCGTCAGGCTGAATAGAGGTTGATAAAAGTGAACCTCAACAGCACATTGGTCACTTATCTGAATCTTAACAGACATTTTAATCTGAATGTATTACTTTTACATGGACATAAGTTCAGAGGAATCCACTGTTGGAATGAAAAAGTTAAGCACTAGCTCTGGCTCATATGAATGAGCAAAGTCAACACAGTGAGACTGCTTCTCAGTGGGAAAGAAAGATGAGAGCAACTATATAGATAATATGACAAGAGCCAAGCGGATGCTAATAAACATTTCACATGGATCACGAGTGACTTCCCTCCTGACATTTGTCCAAAGATGAACTGGTGAGCGGCCAATCAGGGTTAGTCTTCACCCACTGGCTGGCAGTTTTTGACTTCTAAAATTATAAATTTTTCTTCTATTTCTTTGCTTTCCCCTTCTCCTGCCCTCTGATCTCTGCTTATTTCAACTGCTCGCCCCTTCTCTTCTCTCCTTTCCTGTGGCAGGAAATTCTCACAATTGCCTGCCGAAGTTTCCCTCCATCGCAGGAGGCAGCGGGGTCTAGCTTGGCTGAGTCTGAATGCTCAGCTCCACTGGGAGTTTTTAGCAGCTATAGCAAACAATGGACACGGCTACCCACCTCAAAAGTTTTGCTCCCTACCTGGCAAACAGGAGGTAAAGAGTCTGAATACAGTTATCACATGCGCTGGGTCTTTGAAGTTGGCAGATTGAGAAGAATGCTTGACTAACAACTGTTGTGAATTGAGGTGGCTTATCTGGAATTACACGATCATCGCTGGGTCCCAAGTGTGCCGACTGCAAAACCGCCCAAAGGGCAGGCAGAGAACTCTTATCAACTCCAAGTCTGAGTGGGTCATTCTGAAGGAGCTGCAAAGTGGGTCTAGACAGGTGATGTGATAAACCAGGCCAGACTCTGTGGCTCAATTATAATCTACAACAAGCAACGCTCGGAGTCTGGATGCTGCCAGTGTTTGTCCTTCACCTCGGCGGTGACCAGGACTAACTGTTTGAGGTGCCGAAGTTAAAGAACATGTTTACCAATTGGTTCATGATCTAATACTTTGGGAAACAATTTCACGAATGATCAAAATGTTCTCAACAGCTTGTGTCTGTATGAAAGCATTGAGAACAACTGGAGATAACAGTTTTTTTAATGTGTCCAATGTAAAACCCCTCTCGTTCTCTACTGGAATGCACAGACAGACGATAACAGATTTTTTTCCTGATGGGTATCATGTTTTGTGATTTCATGGCTGAGACAGCTGGCTGTTCGCTGAGAAGGCCTGGCTGTTGGCTAACTGAGACGCTGCCATGAATATCGCCATCTGGCTGGCCTCAAGCTATGCCCCCTTGACACACACGCACACACACATAATGAGGTTACAACCATGACCCATTCCAGTTATCTACCACCAGCCGGTGCAGGCACGCATGCACGGACACATATGCATGCAACCACACAGCTGGCCCAAATGGATCATCACAGAGCTAACCTCAGAGTCCTCTGCTCCCTGATGTCATATTTATTCTCACACAGAAGGCCCTGGCCAAGGATCAAGTGACCAGGCCCATTCAAAG